GCCAAGGAGATATGGGATGTTATGAAAGAAACTTATTCCCAACCCCTTAATGTTGCCAGAGCTTATGAATTGAAATGTAAAGTGAACACTCTTAAACAATGAGAGAAATCGGTTTTGGTCTACTTCTCTACCTTGAAGTCCCTGTGGTATGAGATTGATCACTTAGAGACTCTTGAGTGGGAGAGTCCCAAAGATGCACAGACCCATAGAAAGCAAGTCGAGACAAACAAGGTGTTTGAGTTTCTGGCAGGTCTAAATTCAGAGTATGATATTGTGCGGCAACAGATATTGACCAGAGATAGTGTGACTCTCACCCAGGCATACTTCTTAGTGCATAGTGAAGAGACCAAGAGAAAAGTCATGATGCAACATCAGCCTCTTACACCAGCCCTTGTAGCTGTTAAACCCAAATCAGGAGGTGATTCAGAAAGGGACATGAAGAATGAAGATAAAAGAGATGTGGTATGTGAGCATTGTAAGAAACCCAAACACACAAAAGAAACATGCTGGAAACTGCATTCTTATTTGGTCCCGACAAAGTTGAGAAGCAAGAAGGGTAATGCTCATGTGGTCGTGAACACTGATTCAGCATCCTCATCTGGCACAAGAAGCACACCTTTAGAGACCTTAGTTGCAATTCGGGCTGCTTTAATATAGTTAGAAAAGGAAGTTGGRAACTCAGCTCAGCCACCGCAGTCACCATCAGCCCCTGCCACATATGCTTTCACACATTTAGGTACTCGAGCCTCAGCCTACCATGCCTCAGCTTCAGGTACTATTGAACCATATTGGGTAATAGATTCAGGTGCATCCGACCATATGACTAGCTTGCCTTCATTGTTTACCACTTATCATTTGTCTTCTAGTAGGGATAAARTATCTATTGTTGATGGTTCTCTTGTCCCCATTTCTAGCAAGGGTGACATCAAGCTATCGGATACTATCTCCTTGTCCTTTGTCTTGCATGTTCCTAAGCTTGATACTAACCTTCTTTCAGTTAGTAGTATTACCAAACATATGAATTGCTCAGTAACTTTCTTCCCTGACCGATGTGTTTTTCAGGACTTGAAGACGAAGAAGATGATTGGGACTGGCCATAAGACGAATGGGATCTATCTGCTCGAGGAGAGTTCTCGTCGGGAAGAGTCAGTGGATAAGAAGTCACTTGTTTCTCAGATTGTGAGTCCAGTTATGCTTTGGCATAACCGATTGGGTCATTTGTCTTTCCGGTCCTTAAAGAGTTTGTTCCCTACTTTGTTTGAGTTTGTTGAGTTGTCTCAATTGAAATGTGAAAATTGTGAGTTTACTAAGCATTGTAGAAAATCTTATTCATTGAGTAATAAAAGGAGTAATAGTTCTTTTSATATTGTGCATAYTRATGTTTGGGGGCCATATCACATCCCTTCTATGGGTGGGTACAGATATTTTTTTGTTATTTGTTGATGACCATACTCGGTTTTCTTGGGTTTATCTTATGCGTTCATGAGATGAAGTTCCCGCCTTAACCCAAAACTTCCACCAAATGATCATAACCCAATTTGATGCCAAGATCAAAGTTCTTATATCTGATAATGCAAATGAATACTTTGCTAAGCCATTGGCATCTTACCTTCTTAATTATGGGGTTATCCATCAGAGCACTTGCCCTCATACACCTCAGCAGAATGGGGTTGTAGAAAGGAAGAATAGGCACATCTTGGAGGTGGCTAGAAGTATTATGTTTACCTCCAATGTCCTTATTCACTTCTTGGATGATGCTATCCTCACGACAGTATATCTTATTAATAAGGTTCATTCCCGGGTTCTTGATATGAAATCTCCTTTTTCCCTTCTATACCCAAATGAGGAGTTGTTTACTATT